AACCGAAAGAAGAATATTTTACGAGATATTTTGTATTCTATGTCAAAGAAAATTCAAAGTGGAAATTTCAAGTGTTATTACTCGAAAAGTTCTTAACGAAAAAATATTTTATTATAGCGTTTTGGAAAGCTCTCGAGATGTGCTATAAGAATATGCAATGAAAAATGGGGTGTTCCATTTAAAAAAATTAATGTGACCTTGACCTGACCTTCGCTACGCAACCCAAGGTCAAACTGATGTGATCAGTAAATACATCTTTTTAAACGCCACAACTTTTATCTGAAACATTTTTTTCTAAAATGCTTAGTTTTCGAGATATTTCACCGGTCCGGGACTTTTTGAACACCCTGTATACAGGGAGTCTGATTCGTATTGTACCAGAGTTAATATAAGGTGTAGTAAAAAGAAATCCATTATTTTTCCAATAGATGGCTGTAGTAATGTGTATCTCGCGTTGTATAAGTGCGATCGGTTTACGCTAGATGGCGTTAGAAAGATAAGATTTTGTACTAAAAAAACTTTTGAGACAGTTTTGTGATTGTTTGACTCAGTATTGTTTGAGCGCGCGTCAAAGATGGACACCAGCAAAGAGAAAATACGCCATATTTTACAGTTTTTCTTCGATAAAGGCGAAAACGCAAGCCAGGCGGCTGAAAATGTGAATAGTGTTTATGGTCCTGATACTGTAACAGCCAATCACGCGCAATTTTGGTTTCGTCGATTCCGTTCCGGTAATTTTGATGTCAAAGATGCACCACGCTCTGGAAGGCCAATTGTCGAAAATGTCGATAAAATAATGGAAATCGTCGAGTCCGACCGTCATGTAAGCACTGTTTCGATTGCCCAGGAGCTAAACATTGCACAAAAAACCGTTTGGAACCACTTGAATAAGGCTGGATACAAAAAGAAGCTCGATGTATGGGTGCCACACGAGTTAACGCAAAAAAACCTCATGGACCGAATTTCCATCTGCGAATCGCTGCTGAATCGCAACAAAATCGACCCATTTCTGCAGCGGATGGTGACTGGTGATGAAAAGTGGGTCACTTACGACAACGTCAAGCGAAAACGGTCGTGGTCGAAACGCGGTGAGCCGGCGCAAACGGTGGCCAAGCCAGGATTGACGGTCAGGAAGGCTTTGCTGTGTGTTTGGTGGGATTGGCAGGGAATCATCCACTATGAGCTGCTCCCCTACGGCCAAACTCTTAATTCGGACCTGTACTGTCAACAATTGGACCGTCTGAAGGAATCAATCGCCCAGAAGCGGCCAGCTTTGGCCAATAGGAGAGGAATTGTGTTCCATCAGGACAACGCCAGGCCACACACATCGATAGTGACTCGCCAGAAGCTCCGAGAGATTGGTTGGGAGGTTCTTATGCATCCACCTTATAGTCCGGACCTGGCACCAAGTGATTACCGGGAGCGGTGCACTTGGACACGGTGCATTTGGACACAGCTAATCACAGCACCGTGTGATTAGAGACATTCGTAGGGTCCCTTGGAACAGCGACTTGTAATTGGACTGTGTCCAATTGCCCCGTGTCCAACTGATATTCACCCGTGATTACCACCTATTCCTGTCTATGGCGAATGATTTTGCTGGTGAAAAATTCGCCTCAAGAGAAGCTTGTGAAAATCGACTGTCCCAGTTTTTTGCCAATAGGGACAAGGGTTTCTATGAGAGAGGCATAATGGAATTACCTTCAAAATGGCAACAAGTTATCGAACAAAACGGTGCATATTTGACCTAAATCGGATCATTCCAACTATGCTAAATAAAGCCTTCAATTTCATGCAAAAATAATGGATTTCTTTTTACTACACCTTATATATAGCTAGAATAGGCCGAGGTGAATAATAAAATTGGTATTTTTTTTTAAATAACCATGTAAAAACATGTAAAATTTTGAGATATTAACAATAAAAAATTTT